CCTCTCCCTCCCCAGTACGTGTCCCTATTTATGAAAGGCAGTCTCTATCTGTGAGTCCGGGTACAGGAGAGCCAGGCGCAGTGGGGTGAAGGTAGGGGCATAGGAAGGGGGTGGGGGGTGGTCCGCCCCAGGTGTCTTCCCCACGGGGGTAACAAAATGGCACACTGCAGGGGGCGGCACTTACCGCAGGGCCTGGTCTGCAGCACGCCTGAGCCACACTTCCTTCCTGGGAGTGACGCAGTGGCTCAGGGCCCCGTGCTGCCCGAAACTGCAGCGTGGGGCTTGCGTCCACCAGGCAGACTTTGTGGGCCGCTCGCCATGGTGCCCCCCCTGCACGGATCACTGCAGCGCCCCCATGGGCGGATCGCCCTGCCCCTGCCACTCCGCATGCCGGATCAGCTAGCTACGCCCCTGGGTGAAGGCATGATAAAGATGCCATAGCCACAGGGCAACTAGACAGGATTTCAACAGGTCACAACTTTGTTGATTATAGATGTTAACAGGCTGTAGTATAGGCATTGGGTGTGTATCCTAAATTGACCAGCCCCTCTGGAATCCAGCGACAACTGAGGCCTGGGCTTGTATAACCAGAGAGTGGATCTTGTTTCCTTCTGCCCTCTGGCTCACCTGCAATGAGCTACAACCATGGACAAACACCAGCAGCCAGCATGGCCGGTAGAAGAAGAAGTGATGTCTTCCCTGGCTGTGGTGAAGTCAAGAGTGTTGGGAATCTGAATACGTGCAGCTTCACACAGAGTCAACTAGGGTTTGGCCGACAGCCAAGGCAATGTTAAGGAGTAAAGTCTGCCTGGTGATACAGAGGCATGGAGACAGCTCCATGATTGGTCAAGCTCTCTCACGGGAATAATGATTTATGGCCTACTAACTTTTTTTTTAAGCGTTTATTAATTTTCCAATAAAAACATCTAATTAACATATCGAATCAAATCCAATAAAAAATTAAAATAAAAAAGGTCCAATTGTCTTCCAAATTGTAATAATTTTTGTTTTGGCTTCCCACGGTCTGAATTCCGAAGCACTTTCAACATCATAGTCCTGCCTCTCATCATCATCAATGTTTTTCAAAATTCCATATCCGATCTTTTCCTCCACGTTTTGACTCTGGTTCTGTGATCCTCATTCATGTCAGAAGACAGATACTTTTTTTTCTATGGAGTGCAGATTTGTCCGTATATTGTACTCTTTCAGCTGTTTTTATTTTTTCATCCCACCGCTTCATTTAATGGCATCAAAATCCAGAGTTCTGTCCAGCTCTTTGAGAATTGTTATTTTGGCAGCTCCCAAGTCGTTAAACTTTCCCGTCCAGGTGTTATCAGAGAAACAAAGAGAAACCTCCTTCTAAAACTCCTTGTTGATTTATTCTTAAACAGACTGTTTGCAATGTAGCCATATATCAGACAGTTGACAATTGGCCTTTGGAATCCCCCAAACCCAATCCCCCCTCCGGGCCCTAGAGGGGGGCTGCCAGACATCCATTTAGCCCTCTCTCTCGCTCATAATAAAAAACCTATTTTGCAAACAGATGTATATATAATATTGTTTCCATTCTTTATGACCAACCATCAGTTAGCTCCTGTTTCTCTTAATCAGGGAAGTATTTCAGATATTCCATAAATGCGTAGTCGGTAGAAGCCATTTTGTTCTTTGTTCTTTGTTTTCATCTTTAACAGACATTTCAAATCTTAGAAGAAAAGCAGCTGCGAATAGGTCCCAATTATATATGAAAGTCCATCTGTACTCATTTTTTGAAGAGCAATTTAGGTTCTTAATGAGGCTTGGCATGCAATACGGATTGTTAATGTTAGAGGAAGAAAAAAACAACATACCAAGCCCCTCCAGATTCTAAACATCATGATGAAGATCTCTTTGAAGTTCGATCTTTTGCACCAGAGACTGTACATACTGCAGGCTTTTCCCCAGCTTCGTCAGTTCAGAGCGTGTCTGTTTGTTTTTCAAATCTTTATATTTTCCCAAACAGATGTGTCTGGCTATGGGGTGGCATCACAGGAGTGTCAGTCCGTCCCTTGCTCCATAACCCAGTGCCCCTGCCGTCTGCCACATCGGCAATCTGGGGCAAACCGCGGGTCATCGAGACAGTCCTCCCCTGCCCTGGGGAGGCTGCCAGGGCTAATTACCCCCATATCAGCCCTGAATTATCGGAACGGCTGAAGTCCAATCGTGTGGGATCCGCCATTTCCCACCGCCGGAAACAGGAAGCTGATTTATGGCCTACTAACTTGAATGTGTTCAGTCAGTGAGAGTAGGAGTTGGAGGTTGAGAGTTGTGAGTTGTGTAAGAGAGAGCAAGTTAAAGATCCGTGTTCTGTTCTGTTCCTGTAAATAGTCCACTGTATATAATAAACACCTTTAAGTGCAAGTTACTGGTTCCTGCTTTGTCCATCCTGTCTGCAGCCAACTGCCATTTGCTTTCGTGAACTCTGCGTATACTCCACTAAGGTCTGACTAAGGTCCTGCAACAAGTCAGAAAGTTGCGAAACACCAATAAAGAGGCCACCCTGACTCGCTGCGGCCATGTCGGACTGCAAGACCACTCCCTTAGGCAACTTGGGCTAAGCCGTCACTTCTGCTCCTGTTTTTAATTAAGCAAAAGAGCTGTAGCCGTTTGCCAGTCTGGCCTGTTCCGCCTCCAGAGCCTTCATCTGCATCGCAGACCCTCCAAGTGTCCCTATTTTCCAGGGTGGTTCCTGATTTAGAGAGGCTGTCCCAGTTTCTGATTTGATCCCGGAATGTCCCAATTTTCCTTAGGATGTCCCTATTTTCATTGGAGAGATGCTGGAGGTTATGGAGTTATCCGACCCCCGAGCCAACTGAAGACAATCCTGTATAGGGAAGGGGGTTTTTCTGTTTGTTTTTTAAAGTTTAATGTTTTATTATGCTTTTATATATGTTGGAAGCTGCCCAGAGTGTCTGGGGCAACCCAGTCAGATGAGCAGGGTATAAACAGTAAAATTATCATTGTGGAATGGGACGTCCCTATTTTCATCACAGAAATGTTGGAGGGTATGGCATTGGCCTCTGCCCACTGAGGAGATGACTGGTGCCCAGTCCGATTCTCAGCCACCCCCTCCATTGCCTGGGGCATGGAAATGCCAGTGTCGGCATGAACTCAACCCCAACCTCCATGTGGGTTTTCATTTGCTTGCTCAATCCAAAGCTGCCTCCCTGCTAAAGCCCCATTTGCCCCACTCATTTCTAACAGGAATGCAGGGGGCATGTCAGCTGTTGGATCAGTGCCTCCACTCGCCTAGCCATGTCCTGCACCTGCTGCACCAGTGCTCCTTGCTTTGTCTGTGCATTCTGTGGATATGAGTGATAGTACTGCCTAGCAGGGGGTTGGACTAGGTGACCCTTGGTGTCCCTTCCAACTCTACAGTTCTACGATTCTGTAAGGTTTTTAGTAGAAAACAAGATCCGGATCCGAGTCCTTTGTCCATCAAGAGCCAGGAAAATTGAAATGAACTAATAGGGATTTCTGCAGTCTAATAGGATTTCCAATAGCAGGGTTAACCCTAGGTCATTGCGCTTAAAATAGCATTTCCATTTTAATGAGAAACTACTTATTTCAGCACAGAGCCTCTGCAATTGTTGTTTCTTTTTCCTTTTTAAATGTTTGATACCATTTTAGGGAATAGCTAAAGGAGATGAGGCAAGTTTAAGAGGAATTCATCCAGGATGTGGTAATGATTTCAGAAAACTGCTGTTAGATTAAGAAACTGCAATTTATCATGAAGAGATTAAAGACCAGCAGCCAGGGATTTGGGCAGATCCTTTAAATTCATACAAACCTCAGGTGGGGTGGGGGTGGGCAGAATAATAGATGCCAGTGATTTTTGCTTTCCCCCCACCTCTGCCCAGCCAGGTGATACCAGAAAGGGATGTAGCTCAGAGTCTGAGAATGGGAAGCAGGTCCAACTCATCTCAGTCATACTTCTAGTTGTGTTGAGCGAGGATCCCCCACGTTGCTGCCCCTGAAGGCCAAAGCTGTGGTTTAGCCTTCCATCAAGCTGATACCCTCAAGATGTTGCAGAATTACAAGCCCCTTACAAGCTTGCAGTTGGAAGCAGTAAGAAAAAAGCTCAACAACTTTTGTGTCCGGGATTTCACTTTTTGAGCTCTAAATTCTTCTCACCCTTGGCCATTGGCCATGCTTTGCTAGGGTTGATGGCAGTAGGGATTGAGCTCTCTGAAATTTTAGAATTCGTTAGCTTTCGAAATCACCTTGTGCAAAATGGGCTTGCTAAATCATTCAGTTTGCCAAATACCTTACAACCAAAGCCCAACTAGTTTATTGTGAAATTACTGATGAATTACTTGACCTTTATTCATCCCCAAAATTCCTTTCATGATTGAAAGTGCAACTTAATTTCGACTAATGTTAATCATTCATTCTTGGCTGCCAACTCCATAGGTGGTATTTCTCTGCGCCCAGTGTCTTGCGTTGTCATTGTTCTCAGAAAAACAAAGCTCTCACCTTACACTTCCCCCAGGATTCACACCTTCCTGCCATCTTTCTCCTCCTCCTCTAAAGACTGATTGCTCCACTCAACTTGAAAGGACCACACATTCTTGGTGTCTTTTGATAGCTACAATGTTCTGGGATATTCTTTTTTGTTATTGTTACTGTTATTTTTTAATAAAAAAGAATTGGGATGTGTCTGTTGTGTTGTTCACATTGTTAAATGATCTTTTATACTTTTCTCCTACCTATTGTCTTCCTTAGTTATTTTGTTTTGCCTTCCCATTTGTATATTACTTTCATGTCTCATTTTACTCACCAACCATATCATCACTGACCCCAGCTCACCCTACCAGTCCCTGCCTGCCGTCCCCAAAATTTTATGCTGAGGCCACAGACTACCTCGCATCATTGTTACGGCTTGGTTTCTCCCACAAACGCAAGGCGACTCTGGCTGTTAATTATTTCAGATTTATTGCTAAAACAACAAACTAAGACGAAGCTCCTCTACTCATTGTCCTCCCCAGAAGATGGAGTTGCCCAGACTGAGCTCCTCCCCCTTCCCCAGAACGGAAGCCCCCACCTTCTCTTCCGGTCTTTCACACATCTCTGCCACTTTTGAAATCCTGTGAGATTTGGCAGAGTGTATTTCCTGCATTCCAACATCTTGCCCACTATCGTAGTAGTTCTAACACATCTGTCTGTCCCTTTGGTCAGAGCTCAGATTACAGCTGCTCTCCCCCTCCTCTCTGCTTTCTGCTGTTAATTGTCCTCTCCCTGTGCCTGCTTCTTCTCCTCCTGTCAGCATCTGAGCTTTGCTGATACTGTCCCATTGTTCCCAACCAGCATGCTCAGTAGGCAGAAATGTTTGCAATTGTAACTGAGCAGTTCAGAGTGTTAAACTGGCTGGTCTAGGCCAATATTCCATCATTAACAATGGACCACTCCGTAGCTAGTTGCAAAACATCTGCAAATCATTTGGAGGAGGAAATCGCTCAGATCAATGCTGATTTTGATGCCACAGTTGAATCAGGCTGGGTGGGGCTTCCTGAAGCAATATTGAATTACACATTGGCATCAGTTTCAGCATACCCTCCAACACTTTGACGCCAAAATCCGGGCTGCCACCTTCCTGTTTTTTATTGTGAGAGCTCAACAAACATTTTGGTTGCCGCAATTTTGTGCCACAGACCCCCCCCACCACTTTTTTGGGCATGGTGCCCAAAAATGTGTTTGGGTGTGCCATGCAAGATCGCGGCTCCAAAAAACCCTGCATTTTTTTAATGACCTTTTTTAATGATTAATGACCTTGATCAAGATTAATGATCCTTATCACTGCTGCTGGGTAAGCCCACCAGTACCCACCCATGGAGGATGGGAACCCACTAGAGTGTAGTTGGGCCAGATTGTTGCTTTATAGCCAGGCCAGTACATGCCACACACCTGACAACCCATATGTCGTCAAGTGTGGGGCAGGTGGGCATGGTTTGTGAGAAATGGACTCATGGGCCAAACTGGGACTCCTGCTAGGCCAAATTTGGTGCATTGGCCAGAGGTTACCCATCCCTGGAGTAGACAATACTAATTTAGATGGACCAGATGGTCTGATTCAGTATAATGCAGCTTTGCTGCAGGACAAACAAAGTAAAGGAACTATATTTAATTTACTCAGAGGAGGATGGATTGACATAGGAACTCATCTTGGACTATCAGTCTAACTGGAACCTAATCTTGGCACCCGGCTCCGGAATTTACACTGCTGTTAAGACACTAGGTAAGTTTACATTGCAATTATTTACATTACATTAAGCAGGAACTTATCCTGTGTTAGCTGACTGTGTTAGACAAAATATTTGTCTGTCTACACATATATATTTTTTTAATAAGAGAAAATAAACATTTAACAAATCCATCATTTGCTGTATACCCTAGGGACTTTTCTTTTGTTGTCTGATATCATTGTATGTCTTCCTTCCTCCCATTTCTGATGCTGATCTACATGCCCCTCATTTCCATATTTCCCAAGTGAAGATCAGCATCAGGAAGAAGGGAGGAGTGAGGATCAGCATCTGGGTTGGGGGCACGTGATGAGCCTCAACAGTATGCATATAAGCACCCTTAACAAACTACAATTGGGGTGGTGTGCCAAAATGTCTGGAGCCGGCCCTGAGGACCTCTAATATCAGATGGCAGCCCAGCCAACCCAGGACGATGACAAAGTGTCTCCTAAAGCCAGTTGTCTTGCTCCTGTTCTCTACTTCTGTGGAATAAATCAAAGAAGAACGCTTTGAAATCTGGCTGTGTTACACATAATATGAACCTTGATTTATATAATCCTCACAATCTATGATGTAAACGTGCCTCTGAATACCAGAAGAACTAGTAGAAGAAAGCTACTGCCCTCACGATCATCTACTTAGCAATTGTAAGAATAGAATGCAGACTAGAGGACTTTGGTCTGATCCAACAGAGCTCTTCTTAGGTGAGGACGAGTACCAAGTCCATACCTTTAGTACTCTGATGCACAATTTGGAGTCTAGAAGGAAATTCAGCATTCTTTGCCCCCAGAGAGTCTTGAGTAGCAACACCCACCATCCTCAGTTAGCTTAACTAATGGTCAGGGATGATGCAAACTGTGATCCAACAACATCTTGGGACCCATCATCTGGATACCACTCTAGACCATATTGTTTCCTTGACTTCTTGCTTGAATATAACCATTATTAGAGCTTCCCGCACCCCACAGGTTTTTTTGTTGTTTTGTTTTGCATATCCACAGAGCTAAAATCATGCTGAACAAAGTAATGTCAGTCCTGAGAAGTTCCCACACCCAAAGGATTTATTGATTCTTAGGGGAAAGTGTCATCATCTTTTTTGTAATCAGAGTCATATTGATAGAGGTTTGAGCAATATGAAAATGTTTTGCAGGTGGGATGTTATGCACAGAAGAATGTTGCTCAAGAACTTGCATGTGAATAGTTGCCACTGATGATTGAGCAGAAAAGAGAGGGTTCCACTTTGGCTCAGACAGCTTTTAGACATCCCTGTAAAATAAGATTGTGAAGAATGTAATGTGAGCTTGTTTATGACTCTGTGAGAATCTTCACAAGACTTCCCGCCCCACTGTAGATATTTTTTTAACACTAGCAGAAAGTGCCCGCTATTGCTCAGGAATCCTAAGAAACCAAAAAAATACGGAGATATAGAAATGGATAGTGTCATTTGTTCATTTTGAGGGCTGTGCCTGCCCTCCTTCCCCAACTCAACCCTGAACGACTCATGGAATGCCCAACCATGAACAATTTGAGGGATGGGGCTAATGCAATTTATAGTTTTTTGAACCCTATATGATTGGGAAAGGGGCAAGGGAAGGAAGTGCTGTGTCGTTGTCCCTCAACCACACTGCAGAAAACAGAAAGTCTCAGTCCTGCTGTGCGTTGCCTTGCAAGCATGTTCTCTACACAGAGCATGACGGTAAAGCAGATTCTTGCAGCCAGCAGTGTTGCACCATTGGTGGGCTGCTCCTGCACTGCCATAGCATGTGCTCGACCAGCATGACATGCCTGCTAACCATACCCTCTTTCCCCTTCCTCCTCCTGCATCATTGCCCCCAATGTATCTCAGATCATTGGAGTACAGGTCCCAGCCACCCTTGCCACTGACAACAATGTCCCACTCCAGGCTGATCTCACTTGCTGCAATCACTGCCACCTGCATTTATGGAGAGAAGTTGCCTGAGCCAGCCCTACCTCACTCACTATCACCTCCCAAATTGACTCCTCCATCAGCCATCAGCATCACTGTGGAAACCATAACTGCTGGCAGTGAGAAACCTTCCAACCACCAATGCTGGCACAACACAGGGGCAGTAGCCAGTATCTCTCTCCTCCTCTCTACCCCACTAGTCACAGGGCTAACTCTCTTCTTCCTACCTTGGGACCTCTGCAGTGCTGGCAACCCCTCTTTCAATACTGCTGGGATAAGCTTCCCCAGTGTAGTGCCTGCGGGTAACATGTTTTGAAGCAGTCCTGGGCAGCCAGCAGGATTTCATCCTCTGCTCACCAGCCGGTAAGTGGAGAATTCAGTCCTGTAGAATTTGACTGTGTGATTGTGTTCCCCTGCTAGGAACAGGTATGTGCAGCCCAAGTGCAATGCAGGGCTGTTTGAAAGCCCTTTTGCAAACAGCCCTATTTTGCTCTTTGCAGAGGCTGCCTGGCTGTCCTTTTTCCTTCCCAGCGCCCCAGCCTAATTTGGTCAAGGCTGTGTTCTGATCTGGAAAATTGTTTGCTGGTTCCCTGATTTCCTCCTCCAACACCAAGAGGAGTATGCTGTAATGTGCCTGTTTTACCCCATGTCGTCTTTAGGCAAAGACCTTTCCCAGAATTGCTCACCTGCCAGAGAAGTCCTCAGCTTTCCAGGCATCAATGACCTCAGCCATATTTCCTGCTATCTTCCCATTGGGCAACTTCAGATCATCAGCACCATTTCCATTGAAGTTCCCGCAGGAGGCACAGACTTTTCCTTCCAGGCTTTTACTGATTTGCACTTTCATTTCCCCATTGGGTTCAAGGAGAACTTTTACTACAGAGGCTAATTTAATCACAATCACATCCTGAGAGAGGCTTATAGAGACATCTTCAGAAAACTTCACTGGGAGTGTCCTTTGGCGCCCATTTACCTGAAATGCAGAAAAGAGGGTGAAAGGTGCTGAGCTAGAATAGGTGTCCCCCTACTCAGGGGTTACCTTCTAGGGCTCAGTGCACATAAGTGAAATCACACAAAATGGGGAGCAACCTTAAACTGATCAGGACTGCAATACTTCAAGGACCGCCTCTCTCCATATGATCATCCTCTGAGCCCTTTCTTCATGTGCCTCCTCTACAAGAGGTCCAGGGGGTGGCGACATGAGAATGGGCCTTTTTTTGCAGTGGCTCCCCATTTGTGGAATGCTCTCTCCAGCGAGGATCACCTGGTGCCTTCCTTACACACCTTTAGACACCAGGAGAAAACATTCCTCTTAAACCAAGCCTTTGGCTGATTGACACCCGATGCCCTTTTAAATGTGTTGTGGAATAGAGAGGGGGGGACGATTATTGGTTTGTTTCTGTTCTTATTTCTATCGTGTGTTTTGTCTTTTTTATATTGCAATTTTATGTCGTGAAGCACCCTGAAATCTACGGAAGTAGGACAGTGTATAGAAATTTAATAAATAAATAAAATAAAAATAAATAAACACCCTTTCAATGCCCTCTCTGCCGTTCTCTCTCCAATCCATACCAAAATAGCTGTATCCAGAAATATGCACAACTAGTGTTGAAGCTCTGGGGCCAGCAGGAGGCTGGAGGACATGCGGGAAAGTGCGCTACCTCACATGTCAGATGTTCGGCAGGGAGGCTGAACAGCCTAAACAAAGCCCTGTTATGCCTTCGGTCTCTTTGGGCCTTCCTTAGCCCTCACTGAAGTCCTCTTTGGGCTCCGGGGATGGTCTCCTCACAAGTCGCAAGGACTCTCCAACTCTCTCCGGCATTTCCGGGTTTGAACTGAGTCACAAAAGTCAGGCTTCTAAACACATAGGACTCTCTCATCCATCCAGGCAACCAGGAGGTATTTTCACACCTCAAGGGGTATGGCCTGGGAAGGGGAAGGTCCAGGGGAAAGTCCTGAGAGTCAGACAGAAAGGCTCAGAGGACCACATTGGCTCTTGGGCTCAGGTTCCCTACCTTTAGATCAGGGGTAGCCAACCTGGTAATCTCTGAATGTACCTGAGCAACAATTCCCAACAGCACCGACTATTGGCCTGGATAGCTAGTTGCTTTTTTAAAATGGGGAAACCCTTTTGCCCTGTGGGTGAGAGCTTGGCAAGCTATTGCATTGGGCCAGCATACAAATGCCGAAAATAAACAAACAGATAAATAAGGGCTTGTGTCCAACTCATGTCTACACAGAGCAGACGTCTTGAAATTAACGGAGATAGTTTAATCATTATGCAAATATGCCATTGGATGAAATCTGAGAACTTGCCCGAGGATCTTACCCGTGTCTCCTTGTTCATTTTTACAGTGATAAAATACATCCCTTTGAAAAATGCATGTATTGTTGTTGCAGCTGGCAAATTCGAACCGTTGTGTTCCTGGACAACTGCTACAATCCTGAACCAAAAGGGGTCGTTGTCGTTGCAGAGGGATGTAACCTCATAAGCTCCTAGGTTGGGAATTTCCCCTGAGGCTCCATCAAAGGAGGTCAGCTGTGCTCCAGGGGTGAGGACGCACTCGCCATTTTCTCTTATGCAGCCACGCACACCGTTGTGGAGGGCACAAATCTCTCCTTCCTGACAACTGTTTTCTGCACAAACCAGTCGGCCGGATGGGCTACAGGTGCATTTTTTCAAGCAGTTGTCTAAGACAATATTCTCTCCAGCCTGGTTGATTTACAGCCCACAAAGGGAGGGAGTGAGGGAGGGGGAGAGAGAGAGAGAGAGAGAAGAGTAGAAAAAGTTAAAATTTAAATGCAAACTTTAATTATTTTTAATAAGATAAAAAAGAAATCATATAGAAACAGACATTCAACATATACAACTGTGTACTTAGAAATACCTCTATACAACTATAATCTAGTACACCAGTGCTACATAGTTGATAAATCAATAGCACAATAGGTCACATTTTATACTTTAATATATTCATTCATACTATATTAGTATGACAATTATTCCAAGTTCTCTTTTTATATATATATATATTGCACCACCGGCTTCCAGCTGTGTCATTTTTCTTTATAATTTCCATATTTCTTTAACACTATTGTCAGTTTGATAAATGCCACCTTTTCCCATAATCTCCTAGCTAATTCATTCTTATTCAGTTTATAGCTATCCTTCCAAGCCTTTGAAAATGTTTCTTAATTGTCAGCGAGGTTTATAGCTTCCATGAACATACCCTGCTATGTCTAAAGCATGGATAGCCAACATGGTGCCCTCAAGATGTTGTTGGACCCTCCCCCCAAACTCCCATCACCACCAGCCTGCATGGTCAACAGTCAGAAATGATGGGAATTGTAGTCCAACGATATCTGGAGAGCATCATATTGCTACTCCTAGAATAAAGGAATAAAAGGAAGGGGGGTTGAATATGCCAGTACATGTATCAACATATGAAGGTTTGTTTTGTTTTGTTAAACTATTAATTCACAAAGATATAAAATGAGAGCAAGATCCTGAATGTAATTGTATGATAGCATAGAAGCAATGGCCTTTCTGTCATCCATGAATTTTGTGTGGGGAAAACAGTAAAATGTGCATGAAGGACATATTTAAATATTTTGTGCCAATACAAATAAACAAAATTGGGGATTAATGCAGTAAGGGCACGGAATAGAATTATGAATTATGAATCGATGCATGTGAAACAGAGCCAAAAATAGACTAATATAACCAACCCTGATACCAACACTAACATCAGCAGCAGTATACCACTTCCAATAAACTTTTCAGATCTTTCTGGCTTTCAGAGTCCAAAATAGAGTAAAAAAACACACTAACCCCACCTCTACAAATGTTGTTTGCAGGTCTGGACTCAGTCTAAAACAATCCTATTGCTAATTCACTTGTTCCCAAAAGGAAACTCTGTTCATTGGTGGACAAGTGACTTTCATGAGTCGTCATCCAGTAGAGGATGGCAATATGAGAAGGGTATTTTTCCGTGATGGCTCTCTCCTTGTGGAATCTTTTTTTCTCTTGATCATGCACTGCTTCCTCTGGGGTCCATTCATGAAAAACATGAGGCCTTGCAGGCTGACTTACAAGAGGCACAAGTGAATGTGCAAACATCGCTGTTTTCACAGCTGTTGCAGTTACCTTGATGTAGCGTCCGTCATGCACGCAGCCACAGTTCCCCATTGCCACACATCTGTCACCGTCAAACAGGTAGCCGCCGTCACACTGGCAGCCTTCGAAGCAATTCTGGGTGCACCGGGGCAGAGTGGATAAGCTGGTGCAGGTGGAATCACAGGTCCTTGTACACAACTTGTAATGGCTATTGGGTGGGCAAGTGAGGGCTGAAAATGAGAGTGAAGATCAGTGATTGAAGGAGTCAAAAGCAGTCCAGGCAGGGATGGTGTATTGGCTAACTATTTTTAATTATAGAAGGGGTTAGGAAAGCATTTCATCCATATTCATTTGGATGCACAGTACGGGGGGGAATTATAATAAAAGTTAATTAAAGGCCTATTCCATGTTTTTAACTGGCATAAACTATTAATATTATTATTAATGATTCTATTGATTAGGTCCTGGAAGGAGCAGCAGAAGATTAGAAGACGTAACTGTGGGTTCCTGCTGTGCAAACTTACAGCAGAAGCTGTTTGTTCTCCAGGCTCCAATTGTAACTCCTGCAGCCTGACATGCAGCTACGTAAGCCTGAATACTCCTACAGAGAGTTTCTCCTGCACCATTGGCTGCACACATGTCATACAGACAGTGGTTGAAGTATTCAGCAGGGTCTACCAAGGAGTGACAGCTCCTGAAGGGGCCGGATTGGGCTTGGATCATTCCGCAGGAACTCTCTGGTTGGTACGGCGCTGTCTTGGCTGCATCACAGACGGGGCATTTATCTCCACAGCCATCGGAGCATCTGACACCATCAATGGGAACCTTCCAAGAGGCCCCAAACTCTTCCACATTCTGGGTGCTTTTCCTGGTAGGCAGAATAAAGTCATCAGTCTTGTCCTTATTGAAATTGCCACATAGGCCATTGACAAGTCCTTGGTAGTTACTGGGGACAGACACCAGGACATAAGAGGAGGTGTCAAAAAGGACTTGGAGACCAAAGTCAGACTGGACAATGATATTGTTTCCTTCCTGGTTGGCCCAGAGTTTCCCATCCTTTGTCTTCATGGGCAGCGTATAGAGCTCTCCATCCACCTGCATTAACCACAGAGAAGGTGACAGTTTAAAATGATAATAATTATTAATGTTTCTTCAATGGTGTTTTGGACTCCATTTCAGGTGGAAATTCCTCCCAAAGCAGGTTACAGATGAAAGATGCCTCTAAATTGCTCCTGTTTTGTGGGAGGAATTCATGCACATACCAGAAATGCAGGTTTATGCAATCGAACAGGATTAAACCACCCTGTCTCCCCAGGGTGACAAATCTACTTAAAAACCACCAAAATTCTAACTTCTCCAAAACTGCATTGCAGTTTTCCAACCCCAAAAGTGGACAAAAATGCATATATTTGGAGATGTACATTGAAATCCACATGTTGGTGAAAATGACAAATAGAAATGCATTATAGTAGAGAAAATTGCTTTCAAAAATGTGTCCATCATTTATTTATTTGTTTGTTTATAGCTTTTATAAACTGCTTAATGTTTCAGCAAATCTTTAAGCGGTAAAAAAAGGGGAGGGTTGTTAGGAGAAATTTGCACTTAAAAGCAGGAGGGTTAAGGAAAAAAACAATTGCGAATTGCCACAGAAATCTGGAGAGCTGAATTCAGTACTGGAAAAATGTGAAATTGAGAGAAACAAAAATTGTCAGATTCGTCCATTCCCAGTGATGGAGCACAAGGGACAGTGGGAGATGAAATACTCCCAAGGACTCCTGCAGTTGTAGGAATTGTGGGTGAACTATGGTGGCATTTCTACTTCAGAGAGACATACCTTGAGCTTCCAGTTTGTTGCCTTCTCAATGACAGCGGTGTATCCATGAAAAGAGACTACAATCATCTTAGTCAGTGACCTTTCATTTTCCACTGACACAGCAAAGTTTGCCAGCTGAGCATCCTCTCCTTGGACTTTAGCTAAAGTATAAGTGCAGGTTCCTTGGAAGTCATAGGCCCGTCCATCAAAAGTTAAGTAGTGGGAGCCTGCGGACAAACTGCAAGTACCAGACCCTACAGGATGACAGCCTTGGAGACCGTCCTTCACCCTGCATTCCTCATGGGGCCCACAAGAGATTTCCTGGCATATGACAACTCCATTGTCTGTACATTGGCATTGTTCCTGGCAGGATGAACTGGGGTAGAACACCTCTCCCTTCTTGTAGTAGTTCCCCCCGTGCTCACAGCCACAATTCCCAATAGGGACACACTGGTCCCCACTGAAGACGAACCCTGGATTGCAATAGCATCCTTCTTTGCAGGTCATTTCACACCCATCAGGAGCCGAGAGACCACGGCAAGTGGCAGGGCAGCCATTTCCACAGAGCTCGTAGTGAGAGTTGAGTGGGCAGGCAGGGCCTGGAAGAAAGGACAAAATCAGAAAGTGGTGAATTTCAAGCTAGTATAGAAGTTCTTTCGGAGGATGGCTGGTTCTTTGGTCACCTGGAGTAGAATAGGTCTGCTGTGCTCTGTTATAAAGTATGTTTATGGAGTGACATCTGCTGGTTACAGCAGATGTTAGCAAAGGTTGCCATCAGATTAAATTGTATTTCCATATACCATAAGCCCGCAACATATGGCATGCATATCCTTGGGGCAGAACATTGTAAGGGAAGAGGATTAGCTCACTGGTAAACAGCACGTTTTTCGTACAAAAGGTCCCAGGCTTAATCCCTGGCATCTCCAAGTATGACTCGGATAATGTCCATAACTGAGAGTCTGGAGAGCCAATGTCAATGTCAGTGTCAATGTCAATGTCAACAGTAGATGATCTGAACAGGTGTCAAGTTACTGCTTATGTTCCTCTGCTAAAACAGCTTCAAGAGGCAATACTTACTGCAGAAAGACTCTGATCTCCATTCTTCAAGCTCAATGTCCAGATCCTGACAGGCTGCCCCGTAAAAGCCGATGGCATTGCACAGAATGTTGTGTAGGCCATGATACTGGCAGACATCAAAGATGCAATCATTGAAGTAGGGCGTTGGGTCGATGATCTCATGGCAGTGCCTGAAAGGCCCATCCCTCTTGATGAGGATCCCACAGTATTGGTTGCTCTTATAAGCTTGTTTCTGTGCCTCTCCACATGGCGGGCAATCGGTGGTGCAACCCTGCGAACAACCTGGGACTTCTGCCACCTTCCAGCTCTCTGCAAAATGGAATATGCTAGGTGCTTGTCTCCCATCCTTCATGGTCATGTCATCACTGGGGTTCAAGTTGTTGTTGCCACAGAGGCCACAAACAGCATTGGCATATGTACTGGGTACAATGACTTTGACATAGCTGTTCCAGTCAAAGGTTACTGTCAGGTCAAAGTCAGTCTTGATGAAGACCTCACTCCCACTGATATAAGCCTTTATCTTGTCTTCGTGGTAGAAAGGCAGGTTCACATAGACTTCATTAACCTAGAATGTGATGCAGTAGGAATTGTTACCACTGCTCTTGCCAAGTGGTTGTGTCCAATATTAGTTTTAGAGAGATAGACCCATTGAAATTAATGAAGAAGAAGCATATAACATAAAGACTATAAGGTTTCTCCTGATTCACATGTTCTGAAAAAATAGTGCATAGTATCATCAACAAACAGATGGCACCTTGCCCCCAAACTCCTAATGATCACTCTCAGTGGCTTTAGATACATATTAAATAGCACTGGAGATAAAATAGTGCCCTGCAGCATCCCATAACATAGTTACTGGAGGGCCAAAAAGCACTGTCCCAATTTAGTCCTGGAGGTAAAATTGGCACCACTGTAACACAGAACCCCCAATTCCCATTCCTTGGAGGCCAAGTACTTTTGAGTTGGCCCAACAGCAGCCTCCACATGGATATTGAAATCACCTAGGATTATTCTCCTGGGGTCCTCCAACAATATCACAGAAATGACCCTGCCCAGCCTGATCGGTGGTATTGCTGGGCAACAGGGTTGTTGGTAGACAGTACTATCCCCAATCTGGGAAGACCAACTCATTCCCTACAGACCCTCTCAGATGTTAAGATTGGTAGTTTGTGGGTGGATGGGATCTGGGAGCAGGAATTCTCTGTGGTAGCCCTTAAGCTGTGAAATTCCCTCCCTGCTGAGCTTCATTTGGCACATTCGTAAGTTCGATTTTGTCATGTGCTGAAAACACATCTCTTAACCATATATATATAGAGAGAGAGAAAGCGCGCGATGGATGTGTATTTTAAAGATTTGATTTTTTCATCTGACTATAAATTGTTTTAACTCTTTTTAATATTGTAGTTTTATGTTGTTGTAACCCAACTTATGAGAAAAGGGCCAGTGAAAAATCTAATCATTGTCCTATGCTCCCATAATAGTTTCTGGATTAGATAAACTCATTGTTCTAGGCAGCTGGGGGCCCTGCCCTCACTGCTCACAAACCATACTTGTCCCATACTTAGGAGCTGGATCTGACAACTCTTGTTGCCATCAACAGCACATATCTAATGCCGAATTTTGCAGCACCTCGAGCTTACCTCATCTATACTTTGCATGTCAACAGACCCTGTAGTTCAAATTACAAAGTCCAATGGGGTATAGTGCCATTTGTCACAGATAAACCATCCCCTATGTCTAATGCAGGAACTGCTTCAATGCTTACTTAGAAAACTAGCAAGGTACCCTGCCCAAGAGCCACCCTCTGAAACAGCCCTGTAATGGCACAAAGGGGGAAAACAACCATACATTCACCAATTGTCTATACCTGGATCCTGCGTGGATACTCCTGGCTAAGTGTGATTACGACATTGTAGACCTCCAATGTCACCACCTTGGTGTAGGACACCTTTTCATTGCCTCGGTTGTTGTTCTCCACATTGACAGTGAAAGGCCTGAGAGTTGGGTCCTTAGAGCACAGCCCAGCCAGCTGGTAGACGCAGGTGCCCATGAAGTCATATTTCTTCCCATCAAAGGTGGTATAATGAGGGTCCCCGGATGCTGAGCAAGTAGCAGTGCTTACGGGATGACAACCTCGGACCCCATTGACCAGAATGCACTGCTCACTGGCTTTGCAGCCAGCTGGTTTGCACACTGCAATGCCCAGGGTGGCATCACATGTGCAGTGGGAACCACAGGTCTCATCAGCCCAGAATTCTTCTCCGGGTTTGTAGTAGAGCCCATTGAAGGTGCAGCCACAGCTCCCGACAGGCACACACTTGTCTACGCTGAGGACGTAGCCATCGTTGCACTGGCAGGTTTCCACACATGGCTGTTTGCAGGCAGAGGGAGCCTTGCGGTCGGCGCAGCTGGCAGGGCAGGCATTGCCACAGAACTCATAGTGGCTATTCTGAGGGCACGGCAAGGCTGTAAGGAGGAGAAGAACAGCGGGAGTCTAACAACTGATAGAACGTGCTAAAGCTTAAGTTGGCAAGAGCTGATGCTGCTAATATTGTACATGTCATATACAGTGTGTGTGTGTGTGTGTGTGTGTGTGTGTGTGTTTAAGAATGAATTCTTGGGTCACAAGATCCAAGTTGGGAGCAAGTATTCTTTGGTGAGAGAACCCTAGCAGAGATTTAAAACCACAAAACATGCAGCAACGCCAAATGTGAAAATATAGGCTATAAACACTTTTAAATGTGCTCCTCCAAGTGAGTTCCAACCCCCACCCCCAAGTTTATTTCCCTCTTCCACCAGCATAGGAAAAAGACCCCACATTTGAGAAGTTTTAAAAAGAGTTTACTTGCAAAGCTCGGAGTCATGTGAAAGTTGCACAGGCAGTAAAACTTGGCTTAGTTCCAAAGTGGGGAAGAGCACTCACCACAGCCAGAGGCTGTCCTCCAATCATATATGGTGGCACCCTCTTTCCTACAGGTTTTAGCATAGGCCTCCAAGGCCTGGCAAAGGATGTTCTTGGCTCCTCCATTGAGACACACATCATAAATACAGCTGTCAAAGAAGTCATCTGGATTCACTGTGGAATGGCATTCTCTGAAGGGGCCCCCCGAGGTTTTGCTGATCAGCCCACAATACTCTTCCTTTCCATACAGCGCCCTCTTGCTCTCATCACATGTTGGGCAATTCCCTCGGCAGTAATCCCAGCAAAAGGGGTCCCGGTCCTTGACTTTCCAGCTGCTGGCCCAGCTTATGATGGAGGCAGCTTTAGTGCCATTGAGAAAGACCATGTCGTCTGCAGGGTTTTGGTTGAAGTTTCCACACAGCCCGCATGTGGCTCCATAGTAGCTACTGGGGAGAGTGATCACCAGGTGCCATTGCCAGTCGTACGTCACTTGGAGGCCGAAATCTGTTTGCAGGACAGCATTGGTGCCGCTCTGGTACAGCTTGATCTTGCCATCTTCAAGAGTCAGTGGCAGGCTGGTAATAGCATCATTTAGCTAGAGACAGAATGTCAACACACACATAGGAATTATTGTTTTATTTTTCCTTTGTTTCCATGCAGCCATGTGTCTAAGAAAGAGGAATAAACAAGCTGATCCTAGCCTTAGGCTGAAATTCTAACCCCACTTACAAGGGAGTAAGCTTCAATGAATTCTTTAGACAAAGGCTGGGGAATCAGCAGGGATTTTAGCCATGGCCACAAACCCAGTGACAGGGAATCTATGGGCCATCCATTTGTTGTTGGACTACAATCCCCATTAGTGCTAGCCAGCATGGTCAATGGTCAAGGGTGACAGAAGTTGTAAACCATTCCCAGCCCCTTCCCTAAACTATTACTGCAGGTGTTCTCAAGGAATTTACACTTTCACCACCTACCTCTGTCCATGGTACTGTTTCACATGAGCAAGCATCATTTTAGATAGGTTAAGTTTTTTAGTGGTCCTTGGGAATATTAGTTGGCAGCGTAGACAAGTCTGTTGGGCTTAGGTGGCCCAAGTGATCACTTCTGTTTGGGCAGTGCAGTCACATAGGAGGGTCAAAGTCAGCTATAAGGCGTAACCAAGCCAAATCCAGTTGCACTAGCAGCTGCTCATACTCTGGTTTCAAACCATGAGCCCAAGAAAGGGACCCAGATTGTGTTTAGCTGTACACCATTCGGTTGCCAACTTGCAGTATTTACAGAATCTTTTTTAAACGCAAACATCACAAAACAAGCTCCTCATTGGATCCTTTTTGGGTAGATCTAGAGCACACATTTGCCATGCTGAAGAATCAAGATCATTAGATCCTGCTACGGTTTCTTGTGAACAGATTTGAAAATCAATATTATGCCAGATAGGATTGCAGCTTCATCACATCACATTCCCCAGTTCCCTATATTCTGCCAGCCACAAAGGAGAAAGAGATCGGATGTCTGAATAATGAGGGTCTTTTAATCATGCGAAGTGGCATGAAGGTCAATAACCTCCATCATTCGGAGTGGTATAGAGGTTCAATAATTTCTTGAGAGTGACCTGCAAGCACTAGTATTTCTTCTTCCTCCTGATATAGCTATTTCTTTCATGCTACCTTAGACTAATATTGGACTCTCAAAGTGGCTATATATTGGAATGAATTCCAGTACATTCATGGAGGTTATCCCATCCCCTGGCAATCTAACATACCCGGATTCTTCCAGTTTCCTGTTTGTGGATGGAGATCTTGTACCCATAGACATAGATGTTGGTCAGACGCACATAGGACACAGCCTGGTTGCCCCTGTTGTCATTCTTCTCATCGATAGTGAAAGGCACCAGCGTAGCATCGTTCCCACAGTACTTGGCAATAGTGTAAGAGCAGGTGCCCATGAAATCAAACTTCAAGGTGTCAAAGGTGTGATAGTGTGGGTCCCCCCAGGCCCAGCAGGTTCCTGTGAACTGTGGTTTGCATATGGCTTGGCCATTCTCCATCTTGCATGTCTCCTTTTCTCGGCACTTCAGGGCTTTGCATGGATCTAAAATGAAAGGCAGGAAACGTGAGCAAGAGCTAGAAGTCATTCAGTAAAAAACTAAAGGTGCAGAGGTGGAGGGAAGTTTTCTCCATTAGCAAAAGGTAGGCAACATGGTGCCCTCTAGAAGTTGTTGGAGTCCAATTCGCATCAGCCTCAGCCTGCATGGTCAAAAGTGATAGGAGCAAGAAGATCTGGAGGGTAACATAATTGAAATACTTTATTGTCACTTGTACAACTTGTATACAGTGAGATTACACGAGCACCCCCCACTCAGCTCTCTTAGTCTTAATTCCCCTCATTTACTGACGCACACCCACCAAACCCGAAAGTCAGTTGCCCTGTTGTTATCTTTTCATTCAGCAGCCTAACAGCCCACCGATAGAAGCTGTTCTTTACCCTGTTGGTGCGACTAATCAGGCTTCTGTATCTTGTGCCTGAGGGCAGGAGATCAAGAAAGTGCCAGCCAGGGTGTGAATCATCCCTGAGAATTTTCCTTACTCTCCTGAGGCAACGTTCTTCCGCTATTTCATCCAGCGGATTCACGAGACAGCCCATAATATCTTGTGCTGTATTCACCACCCTCTGCAGGCGCTTCCTATCAGATGATGTCAAACCAGCGTACCACACTGTGATGCAATATGAAAGGACACTTTCTATTGTTGACCAGTAGAAGGAGATCATCAAATGTTGATTGACATCGTTCTTCCACAAATTTCTGAGGAGATGGAGTCTCTGTTAGGCTTTCTTAACCACCTGGGTTGTACTTATTTTCCAAGTAAGGTCTTCACTGAGATAAACTCCTAGGAATTTAAAGGAAGAGACTCTCTCCACACAGCCCTCCCCGATGTACAGTGGGGGAAGCAACACACAACCCTGTCTCATATTTATTAGGTTGGAATGTGCCCCTGATCTTTGATATTGCTTCTTGCTTGTTGGAATGGAAGACAGAGAAGTGCAGGTAAGTTTGTGCAAAATCTGCCTGCTGTACAAAGGAAAAACGTACAATTGTAGCTCTGGCTACTTCTGCCTCTTGAACCACCCAGAGGTGGCATGTGGCTCCAGAAGTTTGCCCAGAAGAGAATGCTGCCCTAGTGCTTTAGAAAACATACCTTGCCCATTATTTATAGACTCACATACTACATTCCTCACAGAAGGTGCTATAATTTCCCAGGTTATCTGTGCCAAGACCAAGAATTGTAGTCCAGCAACATTTGAAGGGCCACAGGGTCCCCACCCTTCGCTTGATTGACTCTCTCCTTACCCTTATTAATGCAGCTCATGATTCCATCTTCGACCTTGCAGTTCTCATCGGCAGCACAGTTGTGGGCCTCACAAATTACTCCCTGGCCTGGGATGCAACGGCAGCTCTCCTGGCACACGTTGAGCAGAACCTTCTCATTGGGCTGTTGGGAGATTTGGGAAACAATAAAATAGAGCAGTAACAGTAATCCCTTCAGTGCTTTTCTGAGGTATAGCTTGAATGGGAAGGGACTGAGCATTGGAGGAGGAGCGAGATTCCTTTTAACAGAAAGGGCTGTTAAGCAAAAATGGGGAAATGGGTGCATGAATGAATCACCACCAACTGCGCACCACGGTGTTGTTGTTTTTCCATCTCAGCTCCCAATGACACAACTCCTCAAGCCTTTCAGTTGAGATAATTTGCCCATTCCACAGCAAGCAGCCAGGTCAAATGATTTGCATGCATATACAGGTGACTCTCAGCTTATGTTGGGTTTATGTTCCTTGGGGTTGCATGTAAAGGCAAAATCACACAAAGTCAATGTGACCCCTGGAATTGCCCCCAAGATCTCACAGGTTCTTGGATGGCCAGTGATATCTTGTGGGAGCCTTCCAGGGGCCTTGTATGTCTCAGAGCCTGGTAAACAAAGCAGAAGGATTAAAAGCTCTTTCTTTGAAGAGTTTTCCTGCCTTGCTTACTGGGTTCTGAGATGGTCACATGAGCATTCTTGAGGCTCCTGCAAGATCTCACGATAGCCTCCAGTGCCCAGTAAGACAGGTTATCCCACCCCTTTCTATTTATTTTTCGGTGATCTGTGCAAAGGAGTAAGTAAAATCACATTAAGTCGACTGCATAAACAAGCTGTTAGTAGATCTGTCCTATCATTACACTTAAGTCGCACAATTCTGCCATCTGATGCACCTCCTCCTACCAATGACAGTTCATTTTATTTATTCCATATTTCAAAAGAAAGCCATTAAAACATTTCATGACCTGAGAAATTCTGGAGATGATCACAACAGTTTGTAATCTGGGGTTCAAAGAATGTGAAACTGGGAAAGCATGCTTTGAAAAAAAAAAAAGTTCAGAAGATCAGCTACCTTGTAGTAGCGTCCATTCTTTAAGCACCCACAGTCTTTTGCAGCGACACAGCCAAGGCCATTGAAGAAGAAGCCATCATTACATTGGCAACCCTCAGCACAGGTCTCTGGGCAGGCCACAGAGTCAGTGATCTTGGTACAGGAGGTGGAGCAGAGGTTGCTGCAAATCTCATAGTGACTGTTGGCTGGGCAGCGCAGAGCTAAAGGAGGAAAGAAAGAAAAAACATCCATGTTAGATGAAAGGCTCCCTGGTACTATTTGGGATGGCTGGGAAGCTGGCAAGTGAAATGCAGAGAGAGTGACTGGTAAAGAGCAGAAAATGTCTTTGACAGCTGTTTTTGCAAAAAAACCAAAACAGAAAGCTGATGCTAGAATGAATTTATGTTCCTTAACCCCACTGTTTTGATCATTTTTTCACTTATCTCATATATTGTTGCTCCAGCCATTGAAAACTTGCCCATTCAAGACAATGGAGGGGTTTTTTAAATATAAAAAATGCTTAGGTTTTCAAAGGGAGAGGAAGCAATGAGGGTAGTAAAATGCTTCTGAGATCTTGTAAAAGCAATTTGAGCAGTGGGACAAACCCAATCTCTGAGCAATGTGAGATTCCAGGGGTTCCAGGAGTTTACCCAGGGTTTGATTTCCCTGGAATGAGGGTCAGCAGTGACTGTGATGTGTTTATGATATATGGTTTATTTGCACATACAGTCGTACCTTGGTTCTCAAAAAGAATGTGTTCCAGGAGTCCATTTGACTTCTGGAACTGTTCATAAACCAAGACATGGCTCCCAATTGGCTGCAGGAACAGCTGCGAAAGCCACGTCAGATGTTCGGCTTCCGAAAATTGTTTGAAAACTGGAACACTCACTTCCAGTTTTTGATCGTTCAGGAGCCAAAACGTATGAGTTCCAAGGCATTCAGCAACCAAGGTACGACTGTACCCTAGCCTATGATGGGGCTCGCAGCATTAACATCCCCAAAATTCTTACTTATTCCAGAGCCACAGTCCTGGATTCAAGCAGAAATCAAGTGTGCCTCTCTTTCTCCAGCTTCTGCCTGCAGCTTGCTTTCTCTCTCTCTTACACCTCTGGCCCTTGTCCTTCTCACCAACAGCCGGGGGAGAGGCAGGGACCACCTATGTGCCTTCTGGCACAAAGCAACTTCCTTTGTTTGTTTGCTGTGTATTCTGAGAAGTGTCTTGCTAGGTACCAATTGGTCTACAAGGCTGCTGACTCTGCTCAGGCTCCTTTGACTGCTTTTCATCACTCAGAAACAGACTGAGCTCTCAGAGTAACTGTCCTTGCATATCTGCTTGATTTCCTGCTTTCCAGCAGACCTTGGTTCAAGGATGGTGAACCTCGGGACCAGGTCCAAATATGGCCCTGTCTATGGCCCCAGAAGGTTGCCAAGAAGGGATCACAACCCTTGTGCTGAACAAGGTCCCCACCCTACCAACTTACACTGCTGGTTCTGGCAGGAACTCATTGAAAACAATTTTCTATATACCTCTGTGATTTGAGCTCATCAGTAGGTTGCGGAGCATATAGTCAAGAGGGTGGTGACACCCAATTGGAAAGGTCATAGAGCATCTAAGTGTGAGTTCAGTCTCTGCACAGCTTGAGACAGTTAGAGCCTTTCAAATAAACACACAACTCTAGATGTGTGCCAAAGTGACAGGGGGTCAGTTCAGTTTCTGCTCCCATTTCTCTTCTCCCCCTGAAGTACTGAAGTCCCCAGTACTTACGACAGAAGGAAGGGCTCCTCCAGGGCTTGACAGAGACCCCAGCCTCTTGGCAGACAGAAAGGTAGCTCTGGATGCTGTTGCACAAGACCTGGCTGTCCCCGTTGCCCAGGCATACATCGTAGATGCAGTTGCTGAAGTACACACCGGGATCCACCTTTCCGTGGCAAGCACTGAAGGGGCCATCAGGCGCAGTGAGGATCCCACAGTAGTTGCGCTGTTTGAAAACGTCCTTCTTCCTTTCCTCGCAGACCGGGCAGCTGTTCCCAGAGCATCCATCTGAGCAAGATCTATCTGCCCCAGAGACCCGGACCTTCCAGGAAGCACCAAATTTAGCTATGTCAGAGGTTATTATGCCATTGGGTAGCAGGAAGTCATCATCCTTCTTCCCATTGTAGTTCCCACAGAGGCCTTGCATCTGGCCCCGGTAAGTGCTTGGGACGGTGACCGTCACGTGGTAAACCAGGTCGTAACTCACAATGAGACCAAAGTCAGTTTCTATCAGGACTTTTGTGCCATGTTGATAGGCTCTGATCCGCCCAGCAGAAAAGGATATAGGGACGGTGTAGATCAAGCCATTCACCTGGAAGAAGAAAACAGAACATTCACTGGTTGAGTAGGATTGGCCTAAGGGTTGTTTCTTATGTTGCAAACTTATACTCCAAGGATTGGCAGCTGGGGGACAAAAAAACCCCCTATATTAGGAGACATTTGCAATAAAATGCTAACAAGTTTTCATCATAATTCTTGGGAGAAATGCCGGCTGATACAGAAATGTGGAGAACTGGACTTAGGACAGGAAATATGATAGAAAGAAGCTGATGGACTTGTTCATCCTTAATTGAATGAATGAGCCAAGACAATGTCTTAATGTAAAAAAAAAAAGATGAATGGCTAAAGATCTAATGATTTGCCTCTTCTTTCCGCATGGACTCACCTTCACTTGACCTTGCTTGCTCTGCAGTAATGTGAGTGTAATGCCATAGACAGTGACTGAGACCATCTTGGTAACAGCAACTTTCCTATTTCCCCAGGGCTCGTTTTCCACGTTGACAGTAAAGGCTCTCAAGACCCGGTTGTTTGTGCTGACCTTAGCCAAGGTATAAGTGCAGGTGCCTTGGAAATCAAAGGCCAGTCCGTCGAATGAAAGATAGTGAGGGTCACCTGAAGCAGAGCAGGTGGCGCGGCTGGTGGGGTAGCAGTTCTGGATGCCCTTCTCTACCTTGCACTGCTCCCCATTCTTGCAGCTGGCGGACTGGCATTTTATTTGCTTGCTCTGTGCATCACAGATGCAGCGTCTCGTGCACGTCTTGTCTCCCCAGAACTGCTCACCGGGTGAGAAGGACTTCCCCTCAAACACGCACCCACAGGTAGCCTTGGAGATGCATTTCCCAGCATCCAACACAAAGCCCTCATTACATTGACAAGTCTCTACGCAGGGCATTGAGGAACAGTCTTGGGGCTCAGCTTGGTTGTTGCAGGTTGCAGGGCAAGGAGATCCACAGGCCTCATAATGGCTGTTCTCGGGACAGGATTTGGCTGTCAAAAGAGACAAGACGATTGTCAACAAGGCACGATTAGAAGACACAGGGAATCTGAGACTATTTTGCTAATGTGGGACGAGGGAAAGTGTACTGAACCATGTTTTTATTTTGATTATGTATGTGGTTTTTATATTTTGATTTTATCCTGAGACCTATGGGTATAGGGTGGTATATAAATTTAATTAACAACAACAGCAATGACCAAGATGCCCTTAGCCTAGCCTGCCTCTCAGAGTATTGTGCGAATCAAATGGATGCACCACCCTAAGCTGCCAGGAAGATGTATTCAGTACAGATGTAACATTAAACTAAGGTTTGCAGAGTGAGCCCTCTTGGTAGTTCCGCTACCCTTGGAAGTCTGGGGTTGTGGTGGCCTGGAGTGGCCATTCTCTGTGGCAGCTGCCAAACTCTGGCATTCCCTTCCCATAGAGGAACATCTGGCAATTTCATTGTACAGTGGTACCTCGGGTTACAGACTTTTCAGGTTACAGACGCTTCAGGTTACAGACTCCGCTAACCCAGAAATAGTACCTCGGGTTAAGAACTTTGCTTCAGGATGAGAACAGAAATCACATGGCAGCGGGAGGCCCCATTAGCTAAAGTGGTGCTTCAGGTTAAGAACAGTTTCAGGTTAAGAACGGACATCCAGAACGAATTAAGTTCTTAACCTGAGGTACCACTGTATAGCTTTCATCATATGCTAGAGACTCCTTTCTTTACCCTGGCCTTTGGCATATATATATGAGACCCAGTCTATTCTGGGTCTGGAAACCAAGCTTTATGAGGAACGGTTGAAGGAGCTGGGTATGTTCAACCTGGAAAAGAGGAGACTGAAAGAAGGTATCATAGACATCTTCAAATATCTCAAGAGCTGTCACATGGAAGATATAGCAAGCTTGTTTTCTCCTGCTCCAGAAGATAGGACTCGAACCAATGGCTTCAAATTACAAGAAGGGGGATTCTGACACTCACAGCAACCAATGGGGGTTCTCCAGTCCAAGACAGGAACTTGCTTTTCCCGACAAGCTACTGCATAGTTATTCAGTGCCTCACAAAGAAGCTCCTTCAGCCCATCATTCATGCAGAGGTCATAGACACAGTTTTCCAGAAAAGGGTTGGGGTCAATCACAGCATGACACTTGCTGAATGGGCCATCCTTTCCTTTGCTGAGCCAGCCGCAGAATGGCTCGCCTTCATACTTCTTGACCATCTCTGGGGAGCAGCTTTTGCATTCCCCATGGCAGTCATCCCAGCAGAACCTGTCGCCATCGTCCACCTTCCAGCTCTTTCCAAACTCAATGGGGTTGGGAGCCAAGGCCCCATCGGGGGTGCTGAAGTCATCAGCGGGGTCTCCATTGTAGTTGCCACAAAGACCGCAAACATTTTCAGAAAAGCTGCTGGAGATCTTCACCACCAGGTAAAAGTTCCAGTCGTAGGAAACCTTCAGAGAGAAATCTGTCTCAATGAAGACAGAGCCCCCACTCTGGTAGAGACGGAGTTTCCCTTCATTCAGGGAGATGGGCAGGCGGAAACGCTGGTCATTCACCTGAAGAGAGAAATCAGATTCAACCAACAGTGGAACAACACAGTGGATTGTATTCAATGTCAGTCAGACTCAGAGTAGACCTGTTGAAATTAATGCACATACATTGGGTCTACTCAGACTAAAACTTCGATACAACCGACTCTTTTTGTTATTTATTCTACTCAACAAGATGGGCATAAAATGATGATTGTAAAAAGACCAACACACACATGCAATAATAAAGGTAGATTGATTCAACAGGAATGTGCAGAATTTGCAGAGTCCATACTTCAATGATGGACCATATGTTTTGCAGCACATGGAGTGCATCTCAGTAGCAGAGCACACGCTTTGCAAAAGGTTCCAGGTTTAATCTCTGGCAGCTCCAGTAAGGGCTGTGAAAGCTTCCTGCCTGAAATCCTTGAGACCCACAGCCAGTCTGTAGCATAAAGCAGCTTTCTATGTTCTTATCTTCCTGAAGAGTTTTGATAAATCTCATCAAAACTTCTCTTGCTTTCTTTTAAAATACCTTTGAAGTTTTTCACAAACAGTAATACCGAAACTCCTTTAAAAAAAAAAAAAATTCTCACTGCCAGTCGTATTTAGGGAGAACTCGTTTAAATTAAAAATGGTGAGAAGCACCCAAAGCCTCAGCTATTTGGGCAGTGCTATCGTTCCCAGTGCCCAATGGCAAGCGGATACAGCCAACCGCAAAGTCGGTATGGCATAAAATGAAAACAGCTCCTCCTCAAACATTAAATAAGTGGGGTACAGACTGGCAGGGGGAAGGGCAGGAGGAGGGAGCAGGGGTGGTGGCCAGAGATCAGTCCACGTTAGCAAGCGGGGGGCAGGGAAACTTCTGTTTCACATGCCTACATTACAGCATGCAAGCAAGACAAGAAGCAAGCAGAGTAGATTGTGATGTACTCTTGGGGAAAAATAGGTTGCTTTTTTTAAGCCAGAGAGAAATAGAAATATGGTCATCTTTCTTTCTCACCCTCACAAAGCCTTGCTCATTTCTGACCACCTTGATGATGGTGTTATAGACTGTGACTGTCACAGAGCCAACATACGAAACACGAGTATTTCCCCTGTTCTCATTCTTGGCTTCAACACTGAAGGAAGGAAGAGTGGCATCTGAGCCGCAAGTCTTGGCAATAGTGTAGGTACAGGTGCCCATGAAGTCAAAATTCTTCCCATCGAAGGTGTGATAATGAGGATCTCCCTGGGCCCAACAGCTGGATTCAGACTCTGGCACACACACTGGATCACCTCCTATGATTTCACACTTCTCCTTCTTTCTGCACTGGATCAAGCTGCATGGAGACACTGGTTTGTCTGGAATGGAACAATGGTAGTGTCATTGCAAAAGCAAGCATTGTTAGTAACTAGTGGAGGATGTGGCAGATAGACAAAACAAGGCAAGAAAAACAAACAGGCTTCTGAATAGCCACTTAATCTGGTTGCCTCATGGACATTCCGCAGGGAATAAGGCAATCAAGATGGTGGGAAGCTGAACTTCACATACTGATTTGAACCAATCAGACTGTTACTGCAGTCTAGAACTTTGTAGTTCTCATGTCATGTTCCCTTCCCTCTGGAAAATGGAAAACTTGGGTCTCCATAAGATTTTCCGAACTTGGTACAAAAAGTAAAAATTCATCAAATCAGACCGTTTTACAGTTCTTTAACCTATATTATGATAAGTATTCCAGGCAGAATGGAATAGTGAAAACTAGGAGATGATTTTAGACCCTAAAATAGTGGCAGCTAAAGTTCCATTCCCATGTCCATTTTGATCTACTGTGGTCCTCCAGTTATCACCCATAAGGGGTCACTTTCTTTGACAATCTACAAATGAGCACACAGTAATGTTAAAACACAGCATCCAGTGCTGGAAATCAAAAAGATGAAAAAACTACTGGGTACTCAATAGGATGTAGCCAACTTTAATTATTTATTCAAAACCCTCATTTGTAGCATAAAAACCTAAAGTATATGCACAGATTCAGATACTTACTGCAAGAGCAAAGGGCCACAGAGCCATAGCCATCAGCATGTACACCTCCAAGGATGAAGAGCCCAAAAGGAGCGCTGGGATGCTCTACAGAGAGGGCACTGGCTTCTTTGCCCAAGCTAAGTTGACTGAAAGAATACTCTGTTCCAGGGATGCGTGTCCACTTGGCATTTGTAATGGCTCTCTTCTCTAATGTGATCCCATTTGAATCTAAGGTTTTTGCTACAATGACAGCAAAATTATCAAACGCCTTAATCCCATCAATGTGATATGATGTGCAATAGCTTTTTAAAGCAGGAACATTGATGAGGAAAGGGTCGTATTTCTTGCTGTTACCAGCAAAGAAGAAAAGGACCTGGATTCCTGCATTGGCAGAGAAGAAATAGGACTGAGATGGCTGCATTTGAAACTGGATGACTTCCCCAGCCACCGCGCGGCGGGAGCTTGGAGTGGCCCCAGACTGGTACTGGATCAACGTGTTATCTTGGGAAGCGACGACATACACAATGTCAGTCTGAGTTTGGAAGGGCACTGGGGGAACTATGAAGGTGGTGCCCCAGCTGGAAACAGGCAAGAGCTGCTCAGCAACATGGTCGCAATATGAGAACTGCTTGACACAGCTGTGCCCACTCAAAACAGCCACGGGCGCAACTGATTCAACCTTGGTGCCAGACAAATCAGCTGAGCTTTGCAGCTGGATTGCTTGGAAAGCTTTCAGGTCAACAACAAGCCTGCTCCCTGCAGCATAAACCTTCCCTTGGAATGTCACAGCCCCTTTCAGGTGAATAGTGACTTGAGTGGGAAACTGATAGGCTACAACTGCAAATTCCTTGAAAGTGCTTGCCGCATCCCCCACTGGTGTTACCACATAATATAATGTGCCCAGCTGCTGAACTGGGTACACAACTGTGGCAGCACTTGTGGAAAGCTTGTCGTTGTAAGAAAACACTGATATATCTTTGTCAGCTTGGATCCGCACAGTCTGATCAAAAATGTCGGTCCCCTTCATCTCTGAGGAGGCTGGGACCACAACTGACACGGTCTCCTTCTCATTGACAGAAACCGTTTTCCGAAATGTAGATTTGTTCACTGTGACTGTGATGGTGGTTGCAGGATGATATCCAGTGATAAGCAGATCAAGTTTAGGAGTGCCCTGACTTTTGAATGAGTTCTCCAGGAAGCCTGTGATAAATTCCGTCCCTCGGGAACTTGCTCCACAATACCCTGCAAGGCAGAAGGAATGGATAATTAGTCAACTGCAAGTATCTCAGTGCTGGGCTTTAATCTCTTGATGTGGCAATGGTTAGAGTTTTTGTATAATGATCTGATTAGTTTATCTTACAGCAGTAAGAAAATGATTACTCAAAGGAACCTATTAATATTCCTGTTTGGTTGTATTAAGGAAGTGGTCTCTGAGGAACAAATGATTATTCATCTGTTAATACATTATGAACCCTCCCTTAAAAATATCCAGCTTTTCCTATGATAGCCTGCATCCCAGAAGGAAGTTTTGATTGTAGCCTGGAGAGGCTTCTAGTGAGACTCTGTTACCCAGGCTGTCATGTTCCAAGCAGTTAGAGGTTGGTAGCTGTGTTGGTCTGCCATAGTCGAAACAAAATAAAAAAATTCCTTCCAGTAGCACCTTAGAGACCAACTAAGTTTGTTATTGGTATTAGCTTTCGTGTGCATGCTCCAAGCAAACACTGTTGTTCCAAGCAAACACAGTTGAAAGAGCACCTGGTAATTTTTTTCTCTCTTTGTTCAACTCCTCCTAGAAGTATTGAACCAAGATATGGTCATCTACATGCCACACCTTCCTTTCCCATTCCCTCACAATTACTGATCAGCATTTTGCAGCATGATAACAGAACCACTGGCGGAGGAACAGGGGTGCGGGGGAAGCGCACCTCTCCCGGCGGCACAATCCTGGTAGGGTGCTATCGCAGCTGGGGGGCCCCCCACACTGGGCGCCATGACCCCGGGACGTGCACCACACCCCCGGGATGCATGCCAGCCATGCCCCCACCTGCTCTCAGACCCTCCCCCTCCCTGCCAGAGCTTGAAGCTCCACCACTGAACAGAACAAGAGTGTTGGAGTGCAGATGCAGGAATGCAGGTGGTCCAAGTGAATGAGTGGGTGGCCTAGGAAGATGGCTGCGTGTGTGCATGGCTGAAGCTGACAGTGGGGAGCCCAAGCAAACAGAGATGGAGGCAGAGCAGGCAGTCCAGGCAAAACTGCCGAGGAACAATGAGGACAGACTGAGACAGCTCCCTGTGACTGTCTTGCCCACTTCAGCCTCAGCAGCTTCAGAAGCCAAGGAGGAGGGAAATGGATGTGGGCATGTGTCCCGGGTGAGGCACTGAGGAACAGGCAGGGCTGGGCAGGCAGCTCACAAGCAACAGTCCTGCTCTTCCACTGCTGCCCATGGCTTCCCTTGTCCTCACCCTCGGCAGTTAAGTATGAAATGGCCCTGGCAGCTGGGTGGGATGTCGAATGGGAGGGGACATAGTTCAGGTGAGCTCTGAGTGGAAGAAGGCACTGTGTCTGGGCAAGCTGTAAGGGGCAGTAGCAAGGTCAGTGAGAGTGCAGAGTTAGCAAGGTGGTGGAGTTGTAAAAGCAGGAGGAGAAGGGCTTGATAAGGTGTATAGGGAGGAGGAATGGGAATGGCTGGGTGTAAAGGAAAGGGAGTTTGACCAGGTGTTAAGGAATGGAATTGGTGAGGGGGTGGGGGATCTGTTAGGGTGAATGAGCAACAGTACAGCCCCTACCCCTACCCTAGCTATATCGGCAAATTTGACTTATGTACTATATGAACAGATCATGTATTTTTTTTTCAAAAAAAAGGAAAAGAATAAATAAAACTTTGAATTAATGAATCAAAGGTATTTCTCAGCTACCCCGTAACAAAAGTTCTCTAGGTACCTTACCAAATAATAGTTTAAAATACGATGATTAAATACACAACAACATAAGGTGCAACACAGCAAATAGGGTATGTAAGCAATAGGGTTAAATACAAACATGCCATCAAAACTTTTCAAGCCCCAAAGTCATTAAAAGCCAGATGAAATTTTAGAAAGATGAAGGTGCTGCTGGCTCTGGAAAGAATACAAGGCAGGGGCCAGGTGGGACTCTCTGGGGAAGGTGCTACCGTAGACTGGGGTGCAGTCACAGAGAATAGCAGCTGAATCTATGAATAAAGGCTTCAGTGTCTGAGGTCTGAACAGTGTGGAGAGAATGGAGAGAAAGAATAACTGCTCCTTTGTTCATATATTAAGATTTTAGGTTGTTAGCAGAGTGTTAGCTGAGCTGAGACAGGCTCGCCTTTTCTAAGTTGCATTTTGTAAATCTTTGACTTTAGACATTCAGAATCAGTGCCCTCCAGATGTGGGTGGACTCCAGATCCCATCATCGCTGACCATTATCTATGGCTGGGGATGATGGGAGATGGAGTCCGACAACATCGGCCATAGGTTCCACACAATGGTAGGGACTGGGCATGTGTTAACTCAGCCAACGATACATTGGGCTGGGTGCCAGATAGCCATAGATGCAACCTGGAATTCTGGGTCAAGGAAAGTTTTGCTAGGCTGTGAGCAAGTGCCTGTTCTGTCAGCATCTGCATTTGCCCCACAGTGACAAATGTGCAAGTAGTGTCTCGCTTCTAGGGCCAACCTGCAGGTTACCAATTAGCACCAAACTCACCGAATAGGAGCGCCAGCCAGATCCAAGGCAGCAGCAGTCTCGTTGCCATGGCTAAAAAAAAAAAAAAACAGCAGAAGAAAGTAGTTCAAGTAAATTCCCATCCTCCGATCTGATCATTTGTCTCTTGAACATCTACAACATGCCTTCTAGAACCTGCATGGCAACATATATGAATTCTGGCTCCCACAGCCCCTTTTACCTGGCTCAGCAAATTGTAACCATCTCTCTCCATGTCTTTCAAACAGCTACAACTATGGTTGCATGAGAAGTCTGAGAAATTTTGCATTTGTCTCACAACTTTTCCCTGAGAAAACCCATTGTTTAACGCTAAATTGGAACATATGTCAATCTGCAAAATACTGGATTGCTGTTGGCTCTGATTCAGTGCTAGACCACAGGTTTTCCCTCAGGGAAAGTGGATGGGTGGCTGAGCCTACAGATGATAATCAGAAATGACTGAAATCCTTTTTTTTTATTATTAAAAATAATAATGGATAAAGTCTTGTTGGCATAACAGGATATTCAAGACACATCTGAAAACTAACACCAAGGATCCCAGACAAATGTCTGCTGCAAGAGAATTCCACAGCATGGGAATAAATGTCCAACTTCTAACTGAAGCCAGTCGGGCTTCTGATACATGGGGGGGGGGGCAACTAACAGTACTTGACAGACCAACATGATACCGATATCAATAAGGAATAGAAATGTTCTGTTACAGATCTTTAAGTCATCGTCTGTAAATTCTAACAATTCTGTTTCTAGATCCTGAATTTTTTATTTATTTATTTTCATTTGGTGCATATATCCCTGCTAGAATTATTTTTTTCTCCTTCAACTTTAATTTGTATCATTAATTTTCTCACTTTCTCATCCTTTTGAATTAGTTGTGGTTCAAGTGCAGGTTTAATGTACAAAACAATTCCACGTTTTTTGGAAACATCTGAAGCAATGAAATGTCCCCCTAACCTCTTATTACTCAAAATTTTCTCATGTTTTCTTGCAACATGGGTCTCCTGTAAGCAAATTATATTCAAATTCCGTTTTAGAACTTCATACCACACCCTGTTCCTTTTTATATTGTTGTTAAGGCCGTTAACATTCCAGGTTAATAATTTAAGATTTGCCATTATCTGATTCATTTAAAAAATATTTGCTTTTTTGCCCTGCTCTTTCAGTCTTTTCCAATTCATCTCTTTGCATTTCATAAGGGGTTCTAGAAGCTCTCCCCGAGCTTTGAAACTCTGGGTATATACCAAGTTTTTCCAAAAATTCCTGTACCTGACTCTGAGACTAATCTAAATCTCTTTCTCCTGTAAGTGAAGGAAACTCCCTACTCGTCATTTGCCCACCTGGTGTCCTCCAGGTGCTTTGTTCTACAGCTTTCCCCAGCTGTGCTTACAGTCCAGAACATCTGAAAGGCATCCACAGGCTGTATAGTTGGACTGCTTATATTCCAAATGGCTTTTCTGCAGACCATAGGAAGCTGCCTTATACAGAGTCAGACCACTGGTTCGTCTTGCTCAGTATTGTCTTCACCGACTGACAGCAGCTCTCCAGGGTTTCAGGAAGGAGTCTCTCCCAACCCTACCTGGAGATGCTGGGGATTGAAGCTGTAGCCTTCTACTTGCAAGGTAAAAGGCTCCATCACTGAGCTACAGCCCTCACCAAGGAGATCCCGGCATGCAGGTTACTTACCTGTCCACATATCAAAGCATCACCAACTCAACAAAGGCAGGCAATGACCATGCGTACTTTCTGAAGGCATCTGGTTAGTTCAGCACTCAAAGTAGCAGTGGTTATATAGGAGCTTACTCTTTAGTAGTCCAGCCAATGCTTTAAGGGGGCAGGGAAAAGGGCAACATTACTTTCTAAGCAGGAAATACTGATAACACAGTCACATAATCATCAGACCTAGTATGTGAATATGCAAAATCTATATTCTATAGCCCTCATTGTGGTTATAAGCAGGAAATTTGGAGGAAATTTGGCCATTTGTCTGATCCAGCTGGTTCTTATCTTCAGCAGGCTCTTATCTAAGTTATGCTGTCTGGTCAATATTTGGTTTCTCCTAGAACTTAATATTTAAATTGCCACACAAAACTTAGTAGCTTACATAGCTAGGATATGCAAAATAGGTTTTATTGTTTGGCAATTTCTGAAAGGTCAAAAATGATTGGCAGCAATATTAGATTCCCTTTGAGGGACCAAATTTGCAGTATAAGTGTGACCCTGAGCTCAGAGTTAGAGACAATCATAATCCTAAGGGCTATACTTGTGGTGGTGTTTCAGTGTATGTGAAACTAGGTGAAATAGTTGCAGGAATAGACAGGGAGAGTAGCAGGCTTTTAATCTCTGATTAATCTGCTCTTACTGTATTTAGTGTTTGGTGTGAATTACTCTGAATATTATTTATTTGTATGTATAGCCAAAGTCATTACAAAAGATAAAATACATAATAATAAAAACAGGATAAAATACATTACGCAGGTAAAATAATGATTAAAACCAGATGATCTATCAGGTAAGAGTTTGCTCCTCTGAAGAATTTGTCTTATCATCCTCACCAGGGCTCTTTCTTTCTTTCTTTCTTTCTTTCTTTCTTTCTTTTTTAAGATTTTATATTATTTATTGAATTTTGAAGATACAAAAAATAGAAAAGAAGAAATACATAGACAAACAAAAAATAAACTGCTATTTACACAAAAATCATACCCGCCCCCATGACTACCCATCACCACACCCACGACTTCCCTCTACCCCATCTCGACTTCCGTATAAATTCAATACAAAACACTGCAATCAATGTGCTTTATTTTCTTTATAATATAATTTGTTAGTGAGTTCTATTTCACTTTACTCCTTTAATCTAAGCATATCAGCATGTTCTTTTTGGAGCAGTGTTTATCCATATATTCTCCGAAACATTGCCATTCCTGTCTAAGTTTTTGATTTGACTGTATTCTTATAAATGCAGTTAGCTTTGCCATTTTCATAAATTTGCTTAATTTATATAGCCAGTCAGCTTTTGTAGGTATTATCTCACTCTTCCATTTGCTGGCAAATACAATCCTGGCGGCTGCTGTAGCATATGGAAAAATTCCTTTCCTATTCTGAGGTATGTCTTTTCCCAACAGGCCTAATAAATACTGTATTTTTTGCTCTATAAGACTCACTTTTTCCCTCCTAAAAAGTAAGGGGAAATGTGTGTGCGTCTTATGGAGCGAATGCAGGCTGCGCAGCTATCCCAGAAGCCAAAACAGCAAGAGGGATTGCTGCTTTCACTGCGTAGCGATCCCTCTTGCTTCTGAGATTCAGAATATTTTTTTTCTTGTTTTCTTCCTCCAAAAACTAGATGCGTCTTGTGGTCTGGTGCGTCTTATAGAGTGAAAAATACGGTATGCCTCTGGTTTCTTTTGTATAGATGCTTTTAGTACTTTTTTGAGTTCTTCGTGAATCATACCCCACTATCCCTTTGATTTTTCGCATGCCCACCAGGTGTGAAATAATGTTCCTTCTTCTTTGCCACATTTCGGTAGTGGCACCCACCCTGTGGAACGCCCTCCCACCAGATGTCAAAGAGAACAACAACTACCAAACTTTTAGAAAACATCTGAAGGCAGCCCTGTTTAGGGAAGCTTTTAATGTTTGATGTACTACTGTATTTTAATATTTGGTTGGAAGCCACCCAGAGTGGCTGGAGAAGCCCAGCCAGATGGGTGGGGTATAAATAATTTTATTATTATTATTATTATTATTATTATTATTATTATTATTATTTCCAGCATAGGTTGGACTTCTGTTTGTAGATTTTGGCTAACTTGGATGGCATTAAAAGGTAAAGGTACCCCTGCCCGTACAGGCCAGTCTTGACAGCCTCTAGGGTTGTGCGCTCATCTCACTCTAGAGGCCGGGAGCCAGCGCTGTCCGCAGACACTTCCGGGTCATGTGGCCAGTGTGACGAAGCTGCTCTGGCGAGCCAGAGCCGCACACGGAAACGCCGTTTACCTTCCCACTAGTAAGTGGTCCCTATTTATCTACTTGCACCTGGGGGTGCTTTCGAACTGCTAGGTTGGCAGGCGCTGGGACCGAGCAGCGGGAGCGCACCCCGCCGCGGGGATTCGAACCGCCGACCATGCGATCGGCAAGTCCTAGGCGCTGAGGTTTAACCCACAGCGCCACCAATGTCCCTTGGATGGCATTAGGTACCACCTAAAAACATTTTCTTAAAATTCTCTTTTATTTCATAGCAAGCAGTGAACCTAATGTCTATGTGCCACAGCCTTTCGCACTGGTCCAATAAGATCGTATGGCCGATGTCTTGGGCCCATTTTACCATTGCTTCTTTTACTTCTTCTTCTTGTAGGTCCAATTCTAATAGCAAATTATAAACTTTTGATAAGGTTCTCTTATTACTTTTCAATAATGCATTTTGTAGTTTCGATTCTTCTGTGCCAAATCCTCTTTTCAGATCTGATTTGAATATACTTTTTAATTGGTTGTATTGTAGCCAATCCGATAGATAATTCCTTATTTCCTCAAATTGTTTTAACTTTAACTGACCTTGGTCTGCAGTCAGTAATTGTCTCAGCCCTGGTGAAGATGATAAGATAAATTCCAGCTCCTCTCAGGTGGGTGCCATTGCCATTATAAGAAAACAAGGGAGGTGTTCATGGTTAGTTCCGGCACCTCTTTCTCTAGAAAAATAGCACTGATCCACACAAACTTTTCCCCTTAACATTGCATTCTAAAGCAGGGGTCAGCAAACTTTTTCACTATCCCTTAGACCTTCTGGGAGGCCAGACTATATTTTTTTTGGGGGGGGGGGGATGAACGAATTCCTATGCCCCACAAATAACCCAGAGATGCATTTTAAATAAAAGGACACATTCTACTCATGTAAAAACACGCTGATTCCCAGACTGTCCACACGCCAGATTTAGAATGCAATTGGGCTGGATCCGGCCCCCAGGCCTTAGTTTGCCTACCCATGCTCTAAAGCGAAAACAGGCCACCTTTTCAGAAGTGTTAGGGACCAGTCCCCTAATA